GTGGAGAATACTACGGGCACTGACAGAAGAAACACAAACACTACATAAACATACAAAAATATGCTCAATATCATCATTAATCGGAAGGAAAATAACTGGAAACAATCCAAATATAATCAGTAGTAGAAGGATAAATAAGTTGGGATACATATACAGAACAGAATATTGAAGAGCAAACATTTAGTAGGCAAATGTATGCAGTCTTATTGATTTTATACAATGTAAAGCTCAATAACATTTAAAAGTAAACATGCACCTGCCCTGGAGGCGGATGGTTGTGAAGAGGAAACCTCTGGAAGACGGGGTTCCCATAAGCTCACTGGAAGGCTCTCCATTCATGCACCCACAGACCGACTCCTGGCGTTTGGAGAGGGATGGGAGGTGTGTTATGAGTCAGCCACAGGAAATCCTCACCTGCACAAAGTCTCCCCGTGCAGATGCTGTGCAGTCACTGCTAGGACGCCTGCTGGGTGGGGTTCTTGCCATCGCATCAGGGTGCTCATTTCACTTTTGCAACATATTAATTAGAATGCTAACTCTAAAGTCTCCTTCCCTATAACTTGTATTTCTTCTTTGATCATTTATGTTCATGAAGAATCGGTCCCTTTTCGTGTGACAATCTCTCAGCATTTACTAGTAAAAACAGCCTTTCCTCCTTGCTGGTGTTGTTCAGTGGTTGAACATTGACTTATGAACCAGGAGATCAGGGTTCCATTCCCAGTTAGGGCACATGCTGGGATCACGGGCTCCATCCCTACTGTGGGCGTGCAGGAGGCGGCCAATCAATGATTCTCTATCATCATTGATGTTTCCATCTCTCTCCCCCTTTCCCTTCCTCTCTGAAATCAATACAAAATATATTAAAAATAAATAAATAAAACAGTCTTTCCTCCTAAAACTTCCATCTACACATGAAATAGTGTCAAAATTTTTAAAAATGTGTTATGCTCCCTATCCTGGCTCAAGCATATTAGAATTTTTTTTGAAGGGTGGCACCCCAAAATATAACATGATATCCCACATGCCCTCTAAATATATCAGTTTCCTGCCATGAACTCTATAATTGAAATATATTTTAATGTTCACATTTAAAACTTTCAGAGACTCATTATTTATGACAAATTTCCATAAATAGATGTTTATTTTGTTTTGTTTTTATATGAACAGCACATAAGCTTTCACTTTAACATTAACATTATAAACTTGGCCCTATAAAGGAACTGCAAAAATATCTTAACTGTTTTTGTATTTCACCCATTCTAAAGATCTCTCTCAGATTAACATGAAAACTCATCAGGTCAAAAGGCAACACCTAATTTGGGAGAATAAAAACGACCTGTTTCTCACGTTAAATTTACTAAGAGAGCTAATTTATATGAAAATGAATTCCATCCTTTCATACTCTCAGGCAGTGTTTTAAATGCCAACTGACATGGAGAGGCTCATCATTAATGTTCAATTTCATATAAAAATCACTCTTTGAACCCATTTTCAGTACATCATTTAATTATATAAAGAGTGAAATGTTTCAGGGGGCAGGAGTAATACAAGTTAAAATATGAATTTGTATAAGTTTACTGTTGATGGTGCCTAGCACGATTCATGTCCAGTTGAAGAATAAATAGTGACAGACACCAGCCTAAACAGGCAGATCTGGTGTCAACCAACTCACTGGAAAAAGAAGCAGATGACCAGTCTTCAGAAGGCATAAGTAAAACCTAGGAGCAGTAACAACAGAAAAGTGCCCGGCTGGTGTGGCTCAGTGATTGAGCATCAACCAGGTCAAGGTTCGATTCCTGGTCAGGGCACACGCTGGGTTGCGGGCTCGATCCCCAGTAGGGGATGTGCAGGAGGCAGCCAATCAATGATTCTCTATCATCATTACTGTTTCTATCTCTCCCTCTCCCTTCCTCTCTATGAAATCAATAAACACGTATTTTTTGGGGGAAAAATCAGAAACATGAGGCTAGTCCCTTGAGAATTGGTGTAAATAATCACAGATCACTTTTTATACATAAGTCCTATCAAAATAATCATTGTGTGATGAGCCGAAATAATTGTTCCTTCTTAAATTGTTTTTTTTAAACCTGTGAGAAAAAATAAAATCAATGCTATTGATTGCAGACAGAAAAAATAAGGCCTTCAGGTACACAGCAGAGTTCAGTCCTAAACAATGACACAGAGGTGCACCAAGATTAAGCCAAATCACAGCCATTTTTCAATAAGAAAAAGGAGCTAGTAAGAGGAGAGGAATGGATGTGAGACAACAGAAAGGTCAGTAAGCAATTCAATGTTTAAAGGATGCACAAAAGCCAAGAAGGTATTTATAGGAAACATCTAGATTATTTTCTTTTTGAACTATTGGCCATTCAAGTTCTATTTTTTTCTTGCAGATAATCAAACCATTTTATTTTACCTTATGGATTGAGGTTGTGCATTATATATAAGCTTCCAAAACTGGGCTCTCCATAGCAAATATGTGCCAACAGCACTTGTAATCTGTATATTTTGAAAGTTAACATTAGGTACTGGAACTCTAAAGCTGAATGGCCAAGGTTTTCACCACAACATACTAAATGTATGATCTTGGCCAATTTATTTAACTTATGAGTTTTTCATCTATTAACATGTAGACAATGTAATACCTACCTCTTAAGGTTGTTATGAGGATTAACATTTTAATCCCCATAAAGAGATTAAATAGCACCTGGCATATATAAGTACTAAATAAAAGCTACTATTAACAAGCATCTCATGAAAAAAAAATTGATGATTTTATTTAAAAGTTTAACTTAAAACACCCAATGATCAAAGAACACTAAAAGACACTTGCCATTTTCAGAAAATAAAATATAATCTATCTGCATCCACAATGAAAGATCACAGAAAACACTCAAAACCAGTGTCTCTAAGCAAATCCACCACATTAGTGGATATGAATAGCCATTTTTACTAGGAAAATATTAGATTAAGTTCCCAAAGAAGATATTTTATTCACATCAACAATTCTGAATCACTAAATCAAAATTTGTTTTAGATGACAGTAGACTGAAGTTTCTGATTTTAAAAAGGGAGGGAAAGAGTGTAAGAATATTAACAAATATTACATCAGAATTAAGGCCAATTATATCCATTCATTTAAGAAAATAAATTACATTCAAGTATTTTCTAAGACTCACTCATATATTTGAAAACATAATTAAAATGTAAACAGAGCCTTGGCTACTTAATCTACTTATACTGCTGCTTAAGGAAATTAATACCAAATAGTTCTGATTAAAACTTGACACTAAAACTTCTCCTGGGCAGCAATTAAGTATCTGAAAGTCACACAGCTCATTTTACTTGAAAATACATGTTAATATATTTACACTACCTCCAAATGAAGTTCCCCAGCCATCCTAATTAGTGAAGTCTTACCATATGAATATTCTCTTTTGTTAAAATTATGAGAAACTGTGGCATTTAGGTATGCAACAACACTTGGGATACTGCCCAGGCTACAATAAAAACCAGTTAAGGCACATGTTAAACAAGCCCTTATGAAGCACACTTCCTTTAAATGAAGAGATGTAGGAAAAATTGGGCTGATTTTCCATGTGAACTCCTTGGGCATTTTTTGGAATATCTTGATAATAAGTGCGTGTGTGAAAGATCCTCTATATCCTATTCATTCATTGTTGCTATGGCATACCCTTTATAAATATTAATGCTCACACATGAAAAAGAATCCACCTATAATAAGAACACTGCTATCTACAATTTGAGAAGATGGAATGTGTTGATAAAAAACTAATTAAACAATGAAACATTTCCTCAATTAAAACTTACAAAAAAATAAATGACAGGGTTTGTTTTTCTTTTAATTATTCAGATATAAGGATATTAGCACAAGATCAGTCAAAGTTACACTGAACTGGCTAGAATTACAGCTTGGGGTCAGATGGGCATCACTTTATAAGATTTCTAGAGGCCCAGAGCACAAAATTCATGCACGGGTAGGGTCCCTAGGAGTGGCCGGCGATCAGGGCCAATCTGTGGGGTGACCAGTGAGGCGATCAGGGGCCCCACTCGTACCGGCCTTTGCTGGCCTGGTGCCTCCCACTTGCCGGCCCTGCCCCCTGCCCCCACCACCAGTCAGGGCCTGAGGGCTGAGGGCAGCTCCTGCATTGAGCATTTGCCCCCTGGTGATCAGTGTGCATCATAGCAACCGGTCATTCCACAGTTTGGTCGATTTGCATATTAGGGTTTTATATAGATAGATGGTCACTGTAGGGACTTTAACTGAAAGGAAATGAGCACTCATTATTTCAGGATTTTTTTCCTCTCACAAAAGGAAAACATGTCATTATAAATTCCAAGTTAGAAATACACATTATTAAAATCTACCTTAGCATAAAACATATTTATATAGTGCATGCCTCAGTTTTTTTAAGAGCAGTTTCTATCTTAGTGTGCCCAAGATTTAGGAAAACAGCTATCACTCTTATTAATTAGGGAGCTAAAATGCCATCCAACCTTTAGCCTCTGCCTCTAACACACACACATAAGACACTAGAAACATTCCATCCTCTTTTTATGGAAGCATCATAGCAGAAAACCTAGTCACATACTGAAAGTTAAAGGCAGAGTTGAAGATACTTCGATTATCTGACCAAACATACTTTTAATAGGCTTGAGCTGCCATGAAAGCTTTCTGAGCTTGCTCAGTGATCTGACAGTGTCTGGTCTTAGTGAAACAAATCACATTTTTCCCTTTCAATGATCATACTTCCCTGTCTGAAGAAATATGAAATTCTCATATTAATATCCTAAACACAAGTACTTCATACAATTAGCATCTAAGTAGTATTTCACCTCTTTACAAACTGTTTCTCAACAAAACAAAACAAAAAAGAGAGAGAGAGAAAAAATGAAATTGGTTCATGTCATCTGTGTGCAGGCTGATAAGCTGAAAAGGGAATATTTGATTTTCAAAAGAGCAGAGTTACGGACCATACCTTCCATGACATACACCAGTGAGCCCACGTCTCCTTCTTTGATGATGCAACTGTCTTTGCCATACTCCACTGGGTACATACAATCCACAATCTCCTGGATCTGCGACAGCTCCAAGTTCTTCATGAAGTCATTGTCAAGGATGGCTTCCTTTATGAGATCCTTGGACCTAAGACAAGAAAGCGAAGATTTACTGGCACATCTGACAAGTGCTTTCAGTCTCTGAGGGTTAGCAGACCCAGAAAGTACAGTGTTGAGCACACTACACATGCATTTTCTTGTTAGGAATCCAACCGTTTTTCTGAAAGACCTGAGAACACAGTAATTTCATGGCCACAGGAAAGGCACTGAGAAATTTTCCTTTAAGTTAAGTATCATCGAATGGGCATGTGACAAACAAGAAAATCATACAATTCCATTTTGTTTTAGAATGTTTTTTAATAGCCACAGAGACTGTGGAAAAACCAATGGACACACATTTTAAATTGAAGTTTGCAATTTAATTTAAGAATGTGAACAAAATACAACATTTTATAGAACACTATTATTACTGTATTTATGTATTATAAAAGAACATCAGGATGTATTGTGCCTCTTCCATTATATTTTATGATCCATGAAGTAAGAAATAATTTTTAATTTTTTTCTCTACTCTATGCCCAGTGTCTATCTGCCATAATACTGGTTATATTATGAGTATTCAATAAGAAATGGTAAGAACTGGATTCCTAATCAGCTGTTTGAAACCACTGGTAGAAATATGAGTTATTTATTCATATCTCATCCTTCTGTAAAGAATATTTATTTCTCCAAGCATCTGAATTGAGGTAACCAGAAAGATAAAACTCTACTGAACAAGATGTTTCAAACACATGATTTAGACATGGGATTAAAGGGGTAGCCAGTGGGGAAAATATTTTTAAAATCTATAATTGGGATTCAGTGTTTAACAGGAAAGTTTTGCAGAACTTAAAAGATGTTGATAATTTGATTCACTGGGATAATAAGCTCCAAATGACTTCCCAAGGATATAAAAAAAAAATCAAAGTGAATAGAATTTTAAAATATTTTGTCAGGAGATATAATCAGAATACTGTCAGAGAAGTCAGAAACTGGCTAAGGAGAAAGCAAAGACCTCAGCAAAATAGAGGAAAAGCAACACATGTGGAATTTTATATTAAATATCTCAATTTGAAAAGCATTTGACTGCAGCTGTCTTTGTCGCATTTCCTTGGCAAGCGGCTTTCAGGGAAATGACCTGCAGTAGTGAATACCGACTAAAGCATCAGACCTGCCCATTTCTGGGTGGTTTTCATCTAGACCTCAGTCTGACTGGACTAGCCTTCGCACATTATGTTTTATAATGATTTGGCTTTAATAAATGAAGGGTCGCCAGGCCTGAGTGGCTCAGTGGTTGAGCATCGACCTATGAACCAGGAGGTCATGTTTCAATTCCAGGTCAGGGCACATGCCCAGGTTGCAAACTCGACCTCTAGTGTGGGGCATTCAGGGGGCAGCCAGCCAATCAATGATTCTCTATCATCATTGATGTTTCTATCTCTCTTTCCCTCTCCCTTCCTCTCCGAGACCAATAAAAATATATTTTTTTAAAAAATGAAAATTCATCAATATGAAAACATTCACAGACTGGACTGTTATAATGCAATTAAAATTATGTTTATAAAGAGTATTAATGTATAGGGAATTCTTATAGTATTTTTGAAGTGAAAATACATGACACAGAATTATCTCCAGAAGAAAAAGGTCTGTGTGTGATGAAATGTAAAGAAAAGGGTCTTTGGAGTTATTAGATGTATCCAGGACCCAATGTGAGCCTTGCCACCTGTTGTACTTTGAGCAGGTTGTCGTACTTTCCTGAATTTCCATTTTAGCACTTGTAAAATGGCATTTTCAAAACTACCAACCTAACAGAATTATATGTAAGGACCAATGAAAATATAGTGTTACTTTCAGTAAATGGTGGGTGATTAAGCTGGTAGTAATATTAATAGGAAGGGTAGGAATTAAGACTTGAAACAATATCAGAAGAAAATAAGAGACTGTCATGAGGGTTCAGTTGCCTTTGGTGACAGAACTATGTTTTTCTTTATACTTTTCTCTTTTTATAAAACTTTCTAGAATGGGAATGCTTTTTATATTGAAAAATCTTTAATTTTAAATGTAGTTTATGAAAATATTTATGCTATGAGGTAAAAACAAAAAGGTATTTATTGCTCATCTAAGTAATTACTTAAATATAGATACTTAATACTGGTTGACTGTTATTGGTATATTCAATAATATTCTTTTTAATCGATCCTCTTCCTACAGCCTGTAAATACTAGTGGCAGGAATTTTCCCCTAATAAAGAGATGGAGATGATGGCTAATGGTTAAGGACTTCAGAATAGGCTCTATTTAAAGAGTCTGCTTGTGAAACCTTTACTTTAATAGGGCTATCTAGCTGTATGCTGTTTTCTTAATCTGGCTTGCCAAAACTTTATTTCTTCTAAGGTAAAGAGTCGATTCTCTTGAGTCTTCAAGGCAGGATGTAAAACTTGGTCCCTATCTATGATTTTCATGAGCTCTCCTTTCCTAAGTATTCTCACCATTCCTGACCTCGGCTATATCTCGAGTACCATCATAATGACTGCTGCACTCTGTTGTTCTAGGATTATTTTTGCTAATAACCAGGACTTATTTTCAGGAAATTAATTTTAATCAAATTGATAATATTCTCTTTACCAAAAATTCCTTTATTTTGTTTGGGTCAAAGAATGAGGCCATCAATTGGCTCATATTTTCTATTATAAAGATTGGATATTATCAACCTCAGAATCCCAACATGTTTAGCTACACATGGTATCGTATCCTTTGGTAAACATGAATAGTGCTCCACTAAAAATATGAGCCCTAGAAATGCCACAAGGGTAAAAATAAATCTCCCTTCCATGAAAATAGTTAGCTCAGTCCAAAGATGATTGACACTAGTCACTTTCTCTTGTCTGGTAAACAGTATTATTAACCCACTGTATGAAGACATCAAAAAGATGACACAATGAGATCTAACACAATCCCTTAGAATTTTCCACATGTTTAAGTGCTTTTTAAAAGTGTGGGGGTGAGGAGGGAGAAGAGAGGAATTTCAGGTTGCTTTTGCTTCTCAAATTTCATTTTAAAAGGAGAACGTTTCTATCTCAAGTCTCCACTAAAGCAAAGTTGAGGCCTTCATATATGCTTTCGTGTTACTTTAAAACAAACTGAAAAATAAAAGACCCATGTCTTATCATTTATCCCTTCATGCAGGTATTGTCCAATAGCATGTTTGGCTCTGGAATGTCACAAATAATCCATCTCTTCCTTGACAAGATAGAAATCTTACGCCTCTGTGTAGTAACTCAAAGATGTTCTTATTAGTGAGCAATACTTAAAGCCCAGCCTCTGTGTAATTTTCCATGAAGTCCTTTCCCACTGAAGGACTTTAGGTCAACTCACATTAGTCTCCACTTGCTCCAACATTATCCTATATATAAAAGCCTAATGTGTAAATTGTCCCTCAACCAGGAGTTCAACCAGGGAGCGGGGCCAGCAGCAACAGGCGGTAGCAGGAGGCAGGGGAAGGGAGGTCCCCCCTGCTGGCAGCTGGCAGCCTCTAGAGACCCTACACATGCACAAATTTCGTGCACTCAGCCTCTAGTAGATTATAATCAACCAGAGCCTCCACCTAATTTTTTGAGTCTTTTTCTTTTCCTGAAGAAATAGTCTAAGACATTCACTGTAAAAAGATATGATGCTGTGTATGAGGTCAGCTAAACTGTGCTATCTGTATGGGAGCTGGGAAAGCTGCTATCACAGATCCCAGAAGGTGGCTATCTCCTCTAACCCAGAGTATATATATGTTTTAACAACATTTTGCAAGAAATCAGCAGCCTGATCTGGGAGGTGTAAGAAGCAAATACAAAGATCTTGATTTCTAATCTTTTTTTGTCTGCTTCCATGAACAGATCTATTCAAAACAAAAACAAAAACAAAAACAAAACTTTTCTTCCATACCCCAAGTTTGTGGTTTTTAAAATCCAAACACCCATAAAAATTACTTGGTTATTTCATGCTAGCCCTACTCATTTGTCATCAACAAATTGTCAACCTCTAAAATATTAGCTATAAATAGCAGTGTGCTGGTAAACTGGCTCTCCAGGGAAAAGAAGGAAAAAAACCCAGGTTTGTAGGGTTTGCCAATTTCCACGGTATAAATAGTCTTGCCACACCTAATTTCAAGTTACCAATGCAAAGGCAACCTACTTACAAAATTCCTGAAAATGTAACAAGCAGTTCTTTTATGAGCCAGCCTGAGTTGGCTCCAGCACATTCCTGGATATAAATTATTTTTTTAACATCTGAAGAATTTAGTGCACCTTAATTTATAAATGCTGCAAACAATCTGATGATCCTATCCTTTATTAAAAATTTCATTAGGTGCTATAATATCCCCAGATAATTTAATGCCAGGATTAGCCATAGTTCTTCCAAACTCATAATTTTAAGAAAATAAATTGGAAGGTTCACCTCTATTTGCTTATTGCAGAGAAAGTTTCTGAGGAGACACAAAGAATATTTGACAGAAATTGTCTTTTTACACAAACTGAGGTAAAAGTGGGCAATTCCAGGGTGAGTATAGGGAAATATGCACCTACTTCTCTAACCAGGGAGCCAGTATTATTCCCTATTAATAAACAGAGACTCTTTAGTTTTCTCAACATTAATATAAGGATACCTGACATTGTGGTTATCATATCGTAGGCTAGCAATATCTACGTAGCACTAGTTTTATTTCAAAGAGTGAAAAGGCTATTTCAGATGGGATGATTGGAAAGTCGTCTTTGAGCTGAAGACTGCTTAACAGTAGAATCCAAAGATCGTGGAGAAGAGCATTGTAGGTAAAAGACAAAGACAAAGGTCCAGAGGTTGGAACACACTGGATCTGCTCAAGGAAATTAGACCTGTATGGCTGAAGCATGGAGTGAGCAAGAAGGAAAAGGATAAGAGAGTGAGATGAAAAGGTAGTCATTAGCCAGGCCTCATAAGACCTTGAAGGCTGTGATAAAGACTTTTATTTTATTCTAAAGCCTTAGGAATCCAGTGAAGGATTATAAGAAAACCTGTAATTTGC